ATAATATTAAGTAACGAAATAAATTACGTATGCTGTCGGTTATTACTACTATTATTTACTAATTACTTATTATTAGTGTCAATGAGACCTATCCGTACGTATGAAACGGTCTGTAGGAGGGTCTCGAGTAGCCTCAAGTGAAAAAATTTGCGAAAAGATACCAAACCCACGCGCGCTTACTTATACATGCATGTGTACAGAGTTATGGACTTTTCAGTGTACGGCGGCATTCAATATATCTGTGAAAAATCGAGCGGAGTGACACACGCGGAGGAACACACGTTCCCGAGATACTCATTCGAGATAGGATTGGCGTCCTCGCAGCCTCTTCGCAGTATTATAAAGCTGGCGAGAGAGCGAAAGAGAGAGAGAGGGGGGGGGAGGGGAGCCCGCTCGCGATTGTCGCTCCGCCTCGGGCGGGAGGCGAGCGAGCGCGTTTCCGAAGGGTACGCGCGCTCTCTCCTCTCGTCTCGTCGCGGGACGCGTCGCGTCGCCAGGCGCGATTAATTAAGCGACAAGCTGTCCCGCGTGTAACGGACGACGTGTGGGGTGGGGCTCCCGTGGTTACTCGCTCGCTCGCGAATTCAATTACCCGGCGATTTATCTGCCGATAGCCACGAGGTCGTGGAAATGCGAATCATCGTAACGTTACACGACGCGCGCTCGGACGCGTCCCACGTTTCGAGCGGACGCGTCTCTCTCTCCCTCTCTCTCTCTCTCTCTCTCTTGGAAAAGGAGCATTCCACTCATCCTTTTATCAATCTTTAGCTCGCGATATATTATGCCAAATGTATAAAGGGATTTTGTTGAATCGATCGATTCTCTGGGCTTCCACCCATCGAATAATATAATAGTTTGAGACGTCTTTCGTTTTAATTGTTCGATATTCGATGTACGGAAATCTCGAGGAAATGTCTTTGAAACGCACCCGAATTCTTCGTACGATGATACTGTTTTATTTCAATTCGGCTGAAATTTACGTCGCGCTTTTAAAGCCTCTAATTTTGCAAGGCGTAATCGCGCGGCAAAATTGATTATTTCACGAGTAACTCCTAAACTCCTTCTCTCTTTTCTTTTCTCCGGTTTCCTCGCAGTCGAGAAATTCGATACTCCGTATCGCCCCGTCGTATCTAAATGCATTCCGTTCGGCTGCCGGACGGTTGCTATATCCTCGTCGGCACGGAAGAATAATCCCGTGGGATCCGAACGAGTTTCGCCGGCGTTTTAAGTCGGAGGAAACTTTCATCCGGTTAACCGCGCGTAAAGCCGGGCGCTTTGCTTTTCTATCCTCGGGGCGCGGAAAAAAAGGATGCGCGTAAACTTTGAGAGGGAACAACTGTGACTTCGGAGTAAACAACGCGCGGTATAAGCGCGGCGGCAACCGTAATCGTAACCGCGACCGAAGGGTCTGTCTCCAATTAAAATTTCGACATTACGGCACTCGCATCTGATACGCGATTGCATCGCGAGACTGCACGTATGACGCGCAGAATTCAGGGAGATACGGCGGCACGTCGCGCGGGCGCGCGACGTCTTTATGGTCGTTACGTTATCGCACGGAGAACCGAGGACGCTATCGGGGAGACTCCGAGAAGGCGTTTCCTCCTCTCGGAGCGCGCGGCGAATGATTAACGTTCCTCCGACGTCGCCTTTAAATTTCTACGCGCGGAAAAGAATCCGGCGAATAAACGATCCCCTCATATCTCCGAACGACGGCGCATCGTTCATCGTGCAGCCGGCAGCTGATATCGGACTATTAGTACCGCCAATGGTACCACTATTAGTCCGAGCGATGGAGGCCCGCGTATCCCGGCGATGCTCCCTCCCGGAACGGACGATCCTTTTTCACGGCGCCGAGCCGAGAGGCTATCAGCCCGGGTCCCCCCCCCCCCACATAAAGCCTGGGACGTGTCTCGCGTTTGCTCGTATTCGAGCATGAGGGATCATTAATCGCGCCCTACTGGCATGGTTACATGGATTTTAGCTCTTCGATCGAGATCTAATCTCGATATCCTTCCTCGGCGCGAGCGCATCTATCTCCGCGAGGAAACGTCGACCAGCGCGCTAAAGCGCCGCTTGGATCTTTTACAATTACGCGTCACGCACTTTGTTGGAATTATCTCAAAGTGTCGGTTGATGCATAGACATAGTAATACTAGACCGTGCATGTTCTCTTTTAAGCAATGAAGGTTAGGTGGAAAAGGATAGAAAAATAGGTGCCGTCAACCTTTCTCTTTCTATTTTCGTTAGAGAGAGAAAGGTGGACGGCACCTATTTTTCATTCTTTTCTACCTGAGCCTCAGGTCTGGCGTCTCATGCTCGGTCTAGTATTGCTATGTCTATGGGTTGACGTAGGACCGACGTCAAGTCATTTTCCACGCGATTAACGCAGCCGCAAGCGGAGAGGAAAGAGGCGGCGTGAAAAGTTGGCTAAATGTCGGAATTACAGAAACACGCCGAGCCCATTGTGAGATTCATCGAGAGAACGATGTGAACGCACCCGGCTATATTTGATTTGGGCTGTTTGCTCATCTGAACGCCGGTTGTAGCAGAGTTTGGTTTACGCGCGTGTTCTGATTATTCGCGATTACTCGATTGGCCAAGTCTTAGGCGCGTGCACGGGAGGGGGGGGGGGGAAGTTGAGCGACGGCATCAAAGCGAGAAATGCGGCGCGAGTGCAACGCGAACACTCCGCGAAATTCGGAGGAGTTCAGAACTCGGCGATTAATCTCATTTGCGAGGGAATTCTCTGGGCTATGAAGATCGCAGATTCCATCATTTTTCGAGTACTCCGAAGAACGAAGTATACTCCTGCGACTCTGCAGCTGCGAGCTCGTTCGCTCATTCTTTACGAGCGTCCGCAAAAATATTTACTCGCAATCGCGCTACCGCTTCTTGAATTCTTGTATAAATAAGTCAGTAGTTACAATGGAAACAATTTACACGGAGAAAAGAACAACTAAACTTCAAGCCCGTTATGTTTTCTCGACCTTTTCAGTAATTTGTTAAAAATGCTCGATCGCGATTTATACTTCTTGCTCCTCAAACTATTGTTGCTGCGGATGGCCAAGTCGAAACCATTGTGTTTTATTATATGTTATGAATAAATTTCATTTTATGAGAGTTAACTATTATCTTTTAATAACTTTCATGAGTCGTTCGCTAATTTATTCACGTAGCTTTTGCTGGCAACGGGCGCTCTCCTTGCGTTTAATTCTCAAATTCCATTTAAAAAATGTAAAATTTTTAATGCTCGTCACAACCAGTAAGAATTTCGCAGGGAGAATTTTTTGACGATTACAGAAAGGAATTGCGATAACGAGCATTTTTCAGGTTAAAAAAAATTTGGTACACATTTACAAAAATCTTCCTTCGTAACAGTCTTCCTTCCAAGAGCTGTGTGCGCTACAATTGTGTGCGTGCGCATACGTAAATTAGAAATACTACGAGACGATTTGATAATCTGGCATCCACTATAGTGGTCTACCTCATAGTAATAACTTGCAATATACAAGAAGCTAACCAGGTGTTAACCGCAGCGCAGGAAGCGCGCAAGAGGCTGCGAGGAGTCGCCGGTCTCGCAGACGCGATCGATTACCCTCCCTGCGCCAGAGAGCGAGGAGGGTCCGTCGCTTTTTCCCAGCCGGTCGTTGCGCCCGGTATGGATTAATGTAACGTAGGTAATGGCTCATTAACGAGAGCACGTTCCGACGCGTCCGAGTGAGCCGTAAGAGCCGCTCTCGACCTTTGGGCCGCTATATAAATCTCGGGCCTGGTTTGCTCGCGCATTCCGCGATACGTCGTTTATACAGGGTGTCCGCGCTTCGCCGACGCTCCCTCCGATCTTTTCTTGGAAAGATTTGACCGAGCGGCATCTTCTCGGCCCGGACTTAAACTTAGAATACGCGACCTGAGGTTCAATTCTGTATCTTACAATATAGCGAAGATGCTAAAAGTGAGCGCGGCTTTGTTTCTGTCAAAGGGGACGGTTAGCATTTTCACCATAGTGTAAGATACAGGAACGGACTCCCTGTCATCGAATTTAAACGTTTGCTCAAATATATTCCCGTACTTTGAAGGGAACGCAAATTTCGAGAAAATAAGTACGGCTTAAAAATTCGGCAATATCGACACTTCCGATTCCTTATAATTAAAATACTGTTGCCGAGGATTTGGATTTCTCGTTGAGAAGAAAAAATTGCCTGGATCAGTCGACAGAAACGCGGCGATATTATTGACTCACCCTGTGCACGTGTATCGGATCGGGGTATCGTGCTCGATTTACTCGCTTCAATCATCGGACGCGTGCACTTCCTCGGCCGGCGAGCCGCGGGAAAAACGCGGACTTCTGTATATTGCACGTCCGGTAGTAGTCTGGCGGCTTCATCGGTTACCGGGAGACCGGCGCGTTAATTACTTTCGTGTTTCAGGGTGTGCAAACACGCGGCTGGATACGCGCTATTCACCGTGGGCGTGCGCGAAACGGGCAGGCGCTTTAGTTAGTATCGAAACTACATTCTCCGCTTTCCTTTCACTTCCGCGGACGGTTCACGTTATCTTTAACCCTCTCGCGCGTTTCGAGATTATTTCTCGATAATGCTGATAACGCTGAAATATCCAAATGAATTCGTATTCATGCCCCGCGCCACGTGTGGATGCGATAACGCGATCAAAGATTCACGTTTGAAAAGCTACGAGAATACTCGTTGGATTCGATTCGATTTTCTCATCCAAAAGCGAGTTTGATGATTTGTGATAAGTTCTTTTTTTTAAAACTCATCCTGTATATTTTCTCCTCTGCTGACTGAAAGCAGCTTCAAACCATACATTGGTAAAATCCGAGAATATTCGACCGAGCGTTCAAATTTGAATTACAGACCGATATTTGACTCGCTATAAGATATTACCTTAGTCACGTATACTGCGAAACACGACAAGAAGAGATATTGATCTCGTTCAGATGAATATTGCAATTGAGAAATATATCGACGTGTACTCACCGTTATCCCAAGCAGCTTCCTTAGTCCTAAGTAATGCAGCGAGCCCGATGTTATCCTTGGGCATAACACGATTCAACATGTTGTCCGAACCCTCCGCGTTTGCCATCGCCAATTGATTGAATTCAACTAAATGCTCCTTTATCAAAGAAAATCTGCAAGAGAACAAAAACGAACGGATGTAAAAACAATTAGGTCACGTATCCCGGTACATAGCGAGAGCAATATATAATACGTTCGACAGAGAATGGCAGAACTGTATTCGAGCGAGTCCGTAGATATAAGTAGAATTTAGCGGACCGTCAAAAACAGGAGAGATAATTCCAGGAGGTTCGATTTATCTCGCCTATCGTCGCAACGGAGGGCCGCAGTGTCGATTGCCACTGCGGGGTCGAGTTCACCGGGGAAGGAATTCCTGCTTCTTCTTCAATCGGTCGTCCAGGTCCCGATAAATGGCCGGACAGGAGGGCTCAATTTCGCCCCGTGGGGAGCGCAGAGGGACTTTTGACGCCTGCGCCCACGATAAGACTCGGATACGACGGGACGCGACACCGTCGTCCTGGGACGCGCGACGATTTCCGTCGCAGCGTCGGAGCGGGAGCTCGTGAGCGAGGCGTATCACGTACGCGATGTAGAATACCCGGACTTCCTTTTCTTTCTACCCTGCGCCCTACCCGCGGTATGTAAGGCACGTATGCCTGAGAAATATATTCTTCTCCGAAGACCCATTATATGAGCCATCATCCCCCCCCCCCCGCCCGCGGCCAGCCACTCCTCGCTCGTAAACAAGATTGAATCAACGTCATCCGCAGTGTCGCTCAAGGGAGAAGAAAGAGGATTTGGTGCGGACCGGCCAAAAATAAGAAAGAGGGTCGACAGCGGAAATCCCCCGGAATGCGTAATTGACTTTTCCCCGCTGTCTCAAACAGCTTTCTGACTTGTTCTCGGTTTTCGTTATTGAAATTGAAAAGGACGTCGCTTTAATACTATTATAAGATTGCGAAAGATATTTGGGGTATGGTTGGAATTTTTATTCGGAATACAGGATTTGTGTATAATCTGATATAATTAAAATTACAATAGATTGCATTTATTTGCGTTTCAAGATGAAATTCGCGCGCCAGAAAAATGTGTATTGCTTAACGGTTTGCGGAACTTCACTGACGTTGTTGCCGCGCGAACATTAAGTCCCCTCGCCCCGCTCTTCCTCCGATCTTTTCTTCTTCTTTTTTTCCAAACGGCGCTTCGACATCGCACCGTATAACCCGCGACGAGGCAATAAAGCCGGGAATGATCGAGGGGTGAGCGCCGAAGGCGGAAATTGAACGCAAGTTGAACTTTACGCTCATCGCGTGAACGCTGATTTGGTTCGGTCGATTTGGTCGCGTTGTGCAGTCGGATTGAAATCGACGGCCGCGCGTCTTTGCGAGCCGTAAAAGCGACCGTAAGCTCCTCCTTTTTTTCCCCCTCTCTTTTTCACTTTCGGCCGGTCCAGCGAGACGGGAAAGAGAACGAGATAAAGCGCGGAGAAAGCACCATGTGAGCTATATGCGGCGGTCTCGCGTCGCAGTAGTACGAATCGTTTTTGGTCAGACCAACGCGCGGCGATTCGCCGCTCAATCTCGAATTTCGACATGTGCGGCGATGGTTCCTCGCCGCCTCACGCCGAGTCATACGGAAATATCTCTAATAACGTGTCTTAATAAAATAAAACGTTTCCCGAGTCGAATATTTTGGCCTCAGTTTAGCCTCGTATAAGTTTTGGGAGCAACGTGGTCTAACTGAGGTATTTATGTCGGAGAAAATATATCGAATTTTCCACCTCAGATAGGCCTGAAAGGAGTCGCCATTTCCAGCTTTTAGCAGTAAAGAGGCCAGTTGTAATCAACAGAGGTTCAGTAGATCCTCTCCGGCTTAAGAGGTTTCAAAGAGGGTGAAATATTTTGTGACATTCTCTTTGAGGGTTAAAATAAGGTTAAACGCAATTTCTTTACTCATCTGGGCCTCAAATTGGAGTTTCACACCGACTCCGAGGTCCAAGTGAAGACAGAGCAGAATAATTGAGGCCCATTCCGGTACTAAATATTCGACTCGGGTTGTAGGAGAAGATAGTTTTTATCGGAAGGGCACGATAAGAAGATCGTTAAATAATTTACTGAACCTCGAAACTTCTGCCCCGCGTATTTTCCAGAGTTACGAGCCTCGCCCCCTAAACCAACCGAACGCATGTTTAATACTCCAAACGATGCGGTGGTTAAAACGGCCCGCGGAACGTTTAACGAGCGGGACGGAGAGAGGGCGCACGTTCGCCGCCATCGACCTTAATATTGTCACGCAGAGAGACATTTACTTCGCCTATTTACGACGGCGGGTTATAAAGGGAGCCGTTACGCGCGACGTATGCATACGGGCGCATTAATCGCGTCCCGATGGCCTCGGGGGCCGGCACTGCGAGCGCGATATCGCGGAGACCTGCTATTATGCCGCGTGATACTCTGAAAATAAGCATCAGTCGAAATAGATATCTCGGGCAGAGGAGCGGCCGGGCGCGATGATTAATGCGTCACAGACAATGTGCACCGTGCAGCTGGGCACGCCGCCCCGTTCGATGGCCGTCGTAAAAGCAATTTGTGCGTATCGATGCGGTAACGTGCGCGCGGCGATATCGAAATCAGGTTCATTGAAATCGGAAACTGTATCGCGTCTACGCGCGACGCGCATAGAGGAAATGAGCACGGGATTGTCGGGTCCTCTCTCGCTTCTTGCGAAAAGAAATTGTCTCCGAGTAAATGGTCGAGAGAGAATAGCGATACCCGGCAATTTTGGGATTATTCTTAAGATCCCAAATATTCAATGTCGTCTTTCGTATAAATTTCGAGCTAACTGGATCTCCCTTTTATTCACGCTTCTTTAAGATCATTCATTTAGGATAAGAAGGGGCTATTTGAGTTTCAGTTAAAGGAAAAAAAATTACGATGGAAATTTCAAGACATTTAAAAATTTTACAAGTCTAGGGGCTGCAAGAGCCTTTGGAGAGGGGGGGGGGGTTAATTTAAATAGACAAAAATATCGACCTTAATAATAAAAATGAATACATTGATGCGGAATATAATTGGAGCGGCATGACTCAAAAAGCCCGTTTCTATCGTATCTCGGTTTCTCACAAGTATTGTTATTGTTATTTCTCTCCTGAGAGCTGATTTTGAAGACTTGCACGGTTTCGATTCTCTCGAGCGCGGATATTATTTTCGCTGCAGAGCGATCCATCGATTTCCAGTTAATTTGCTCGTCGAATGCGAGAAAGTGCTCGCTCGCGAGAGCTCGGCGCGCTCGCTTTTCTATTAAACACAGACGGCGATTTACGACGCGGCGTTACTATCTGACGCGATATTGGATTACCGTGACGTTATTACACGCCAGACACGCGCGCGACGCTTTGTTAAATTACGAGCGGATGCATCTTTCATCCCGTTCGGAATTAAATGTCGCGCTTTGGGAAGCCGCCGTTGTTTTCAGTATCGACACAGTGATAAGCGGCTCTATAATTGATCCCGCAAAGGCGGTTACGATAATCTTTGACGCAAAATAATTGAATATCGAACCTGTGGAACCTCGTGAAAACGGCAACGTCGAATAATTAAAAAATTGTTTTATCACCGAACGCTTTTTGTATCAAAGCAACGAAGCGTCCGCATACCAAATATTTCATATTCAGATTGTCGTCACTTGTCGTCTGTACTTCTTTGAAACTGAAAACATAAATGCAAGATGAAATCGGAGACGCGTATATATTGGGGTAAAATATTATAAAAGATAAATATACCGGGGTAATAAATTGTTTAAAAAATCAATTGTCTATTAACATTTCACTGCCTCGCTTCTGCTGCAATATATTTACGCGTTATGACGTTATCGATTTGATCCTTTGAGAAGTTTCACGGCGCATTTACTCGCGAGGCATTCGATTGCGCGTGATCGATAACTGTATTACATCGGACAGCGTTTTCTGCTGCGCCGTCCTGCGTTTATTAATTAAATTACCACGCCTCTTAATAAATCGAACGATCGCAGGAGCGTCTAGACTATCGATAATCATTTTTCTCTTTCTCCGGCGAGCCAATTAGAACGCACAGTGTGATAAGAAAATATGCAAAGAGAAATGACAAATTAACGCGACATCCCTCCGCGTTATGAGACTGTAAGTAGAATAAAAATTCTCGCGTGTAACGACTCTAAATTCTTCGCAAATCACATCGCTTTACAACAATATATCTATCGATGCTATAGACATTTGTTTACGAATATCATAATATTGCAGAACTTTATTTCTTCTCGGTCCGTTAGAAATATTCTTTAAAAAGGTATATAAAGAGAAACAAAGCATAAAATTATTGTAAATCATAGTCTTGAACTTACAAAATGAATAAACTGCTTGTACTGTGTAGAAAAATTTATAACAATGCATCAACTGCATTGTATTGCATACAAACGATTAGATTCCACTTAAGTTGAAGTAAAATACATTAGAAATAGCAAGCAAATTGTCGCATGTGTGATTGTCGTATTATATTGAATATCCACGTAATCGTAATTCACTAAACATTTTTAATTTGTTAAAATTCTAATTTTAATTTGTTAAAATTACAAGAATTATGGTTTTGAAGTAAAAATTATGCGTGAAATAATAATAATGAATTCGAAGCTATAGTGAGTTCTACTATAAGAGATGGAGACTGATTTTCAGAACAAAATTGATTTTCGTAATTGATCGATGATATTTTACGAACTAGTTATTCAAGGTAAATTACACTTTTGAAAGCGCTAAAATTTTAGCTTTTAAACAAACTGAAGATTTTATTACTGTTTTACCTGTGCGGAGATTAACTCACAATCTCGATTTCGGGACAAAATCAATTTTATTCTCGAAATTAATCAATGATGTCTCACAAGCTAATGATCCGAGACAAGCGATTCTCGTCTCGTTAGACGCGCTGGAATCTTAGCTTTCCAATGAGACCAAGTTCATCTTGCTAGGATTTTTCGGTGCGAAGATCTTAGTGATTATATCGACTCGTGATCTCGATCTCGGGACAAAATTAATTTTATTTTCAGAATTAATTGACGATATTTCATAAACTAATGATTCGAGATAAGTGATTCTTATCTCGTTAGAAGCGCTGAAATCTTAGCTTTCCAACCAGACCAGGTTCATCTCGCTACGATTTTTCTGTGCGACGATATTGACGATTATATCGACTCGCAATCTTAACCTAAGGCAGAAGCAGCAGACGACGCGTATATGCGGCGTCTAGCGCGGCGATGTTTACTACCGAACAGCTGTGCCTCGTATGTTTTTATGCCAGTTTTTTGGGGACGTAGTACGCTCGCGTACTACTTGCGTAAAACTCGCGCGGCCTTCACAAATGAATGGTGCGCGCGCGCCCGATTTTTAAAACGCTCTAACTCGGCGAAAAATCGACGTAGCGACACGAGCCAAAAACCAATCTTCTTCATTTCGCATCCCGCATATATTTACGTAGAGTATGTATGCCCTTATCATGAAACTTACTTACGGCAACGGAATAAAAAGTAAAATACTGAAATGTAAATTATACGTATAATTGCTAAAAATTTTGCTAACAATACAGTTACGTTAAACTGTATATAGCAAGTACATTAGCTTGATTTTTGCCATTATTAATCATATCTTATTCCCATGCTTTATTTTTATTAGCATTTTGGTAATTAAATGTATTAGATTTTGTATCAAACTTGTACCTTTTTGCCGACCATATTTGTAGCAGACTGTTATCGATAAACTTGGTTGTCTATGTATTATATTACATATCGAGAAAGAGAGAGAGAGAGAGGGGGGGAGAGCGCAAATCTTATAAAAAAAGAATTGGAAATTTTTAATGGCTTCCTCATAGAGGAAGCTAGAAGAGGGCACACATTAAAAATTTGTAGATTGCTTACTGATTAGGTTTACAGAGCAAGTTCCTAGGTGGAACTTCCAAGGCTGAGTTAGTTAATTTTTCAAGAATTTTAGGAATTGAAAGGGGAAATTTGCAAAGTTGCATAATGCTTCCAGATCTGGGCACGATTTTTTAGAAGTTTTGGCTTCCTCATAGACGAAGCTTGGAGAATTATAGTGTGAAAATTGGAAAATGATTTGTGAGCATTTTAAAGCGCACAATAAGCTTCCTCCATGAGGAAGCAAAAATAAATATATCTACCTTCAAGCTTTCATAAGGCAGATTCTGTGATACATTTACTCTCGGTATGTCGAATCTCCAGTCTCACACCGACGCGAAGAGAAACTGACGCGATCAATCGTAAACTTTCCATTTAATATGAATACCAATCTGTTTCAAGTGACGCTTATGACTGAAGCGTTCGTCGCGATCCATATTTAACTCCCCCCCCCCCTCCCTGCCGTTTTCGTTTCCGTCACGTAACATAACGCATTATCGCTGCGTCGCGAATATCGGCGGGATACAGGGGAATGCACTTACTTGACGGTCCTGTAAAAAATCGCGCAGCCGTCGACGTACTTGCGGTCGTTCTCCGCCATCGTCTTCGCGCGGGACTTGGGCGAGAATATGCCGTCGTAGCCGTCGTGCTTGAGCTCCGGCAGGAAGAAGTTGTAGAATTGGTCCGTCTCGACCTCCTGCAGGCTGATGATATCCGCGGCGTAGTGCCGTATCTCGTCGAGGATGCCCTTCTTCCGGTACTCCCAGTCCAGCGCCCAGCTTGGGCAGTAGCCGTACATCTGCCGCGTCGCGTACTTGTCGCACAGCACGTTGTAGCACATCACCGTGAATATACCTGCGACAGTCAACAAAACGTACGCTCTGTACACTCTTTTTTCCACGTACAAATATGTAACGGAAAACAAATATGTCAAATTGCGACCGTGCCACTGCTTTAATTGTATCATTGTTATCATTTAAGTGTATCATTGTTTCAATTTTATCCACCTCTACCGATTAAATACTCGAATGCGTTTCAGTTATCTTTTCCAAGGCTACACTTGGTTAATCTCACGTTCTCTGAACTTATTTTGACGAGTAGATTTCGCTCCTCTTTGCTGACTCTCACTTACGATTTGAATTTTATACTTTATTTAACATTTTGCCGATTATGAATATTAATGGAAATTTCATGATTTTTTTTCAAAATTCGTAGACGCTTAAGATTGCCTTAGCCGTAGACGTAAGGCAAGGCAGAGAAAAACGTAAGTCGTACACAATAGCCTTTTACGACTTACGTTTTTCTCTGCCTTACGTCTACGACCAAGACAATCTTAAGCGTCTACGGATCGTTCTCTGCCATCAGCCATACGTGAGATTGTTTATCTGTTACCGCGTCGCTAAAGACGGCTCAAAGTAGAGTATTGCAATGCAAATGGAAGTTAAACAAAGTTGACGGATACAGAACCTTGTCACTCCCTAATTTTAACATCGAGAGTTTATAGTTAATTGATCACTTTTTAAAATAAAACATATGTATCGTTAAAAAATCCAGGGAGATCGCTCGATCGCTGACTCATCTCGTTTACCGGATAAAAATCTGTTTCTCTCTTTCTCTCCTCGTCGGAAATGTTATTCCACTCGCTTGCCATCACGAAGGACGTAACGTCCGCAGATCGTTTCCGTCGCGACGCGAATAATAACGGAAGGCTCTGATTTACTCCGCGCCGCGGGTCGGCGCGCTCGTTTCCTTCGCGATTCTGATTCCGCGGGCCTCACGCCTCGGTTCGTAAGCCGTCTCCCTATTTTCCTCGAGCTCTCCCGTCTTCCGATTCTCCCCGTTCCACGTGCCGTAAACGCGATACGTGTTGCACGCTTAGACTCGCTCGCTCGCTCGCTCGCGCGCGGATTCTCACGGCTCGGGATAAGAGGATCAGCATAAAGCGAGCTGTCTCGCCAACGTCGCCCCGGCTGTCTGCATAAATTCCCGACGTCTCTCTTCTCTGCCGCTGCTCTGCCTCGCTTAGTCTCTCGGGCGCGACTCCGCGAGTTATCCGCCGCGCGTAGTATAATACCGTGATTAGAGCGAACGCGCGAGTGCGAATCGCGCGAGGGCGCAACATCGAGACGCGCCTTCCCTCGTCATTCGGCGCATTTACGACGGCCGTTCCATCTCAGACGCGTTCTTCCGCTTCGGAAAGCAGCTCGCGCGCGCTATACTATCGATCCGGCTTGTTAGCAGGTCAATCTTTCGACTCACGGCACTAATTGCCGAATCTCCTCACTTAATATACCAGTCGGGGTACCAGCTCGGCGGCGGGGGTGCGGTACTTCGATGCCATCGAAGAACACATCTCCCGTTGATACTCTGGAACTAATTTGAACGCAGCCCGTGCGATAGACGGCCGAGCTAAGCCAATAAATCAGCGGTTCTATTACCGCGAATACGATCGCTGCCGTGCAAAGTGGGAGAGAGAGAGAGAGAGAGAGAGGAGAAGAGAGAGACGGAGAAAGGGAGGGAGGGAGAGCGAGTGTAAATAATTGAGCCGCGGTATCCGCCGCAATCCAATAACGCGTACGCGAACTCCACTACGAGAGTAGCTCGCGATATCGCAGCCGCCGGCGAGGGGGGAAACGATTAAAGGTAATATCGGCATCTCGGATTCGCCCGAAACCGCCGTTACCGAAACGCCGTTAATCATTCGGTCGAACGCGAATTCGCTCCTCGCAGGGAAACGCCGATCCCTCCGCTCTTCATCGCGTAACAGGACGCGACTAATTTTTCTTCATCGTCGAAACGCTTAATGAGATGCCTATTATTTCCATCGGTTTTTACCGGAGCGAGATGCAAAACGTAAGATAATGTAAAATGTGAGACAACACTGATTGCGTATTAGACACAGGGCGTTCCGCGGCGCGGAGCGGAGCGCGAGCGCTTTTAATCTTTAATTATCTGTCTGCGTTCCCGACGGACGCGGCGATAAACCCGGCCGATAGGCCGGCTCTTTTTTTTTAATTTAGCTTCCTCCCGATAAATACGATCGTTAACGATTCACCGATTTGTTTCCCTCGAGCCCCGTTCGTTCTCCGGGGATTGTTAACACGACCATCTCGACAGGTCCTTCCGCCAACTAAGTCGGTGATCATCTTAAGAGGGCATTATTCTGGCTCGATCTTGCGTGAGATATGCGTCGTTAATGGGCGTCCCGCCGTTATCCCCCCCCCCCCGTGCTCTTTAGATGAAGACAACGATGTACACATCGGGTTCGAGGGGCGGTTCTATCGCTCGCGACGACTGTGATAAGGAAGACGATAGCGCTTCTATCGTGAATCTTTTTTGTTTAATCAGTATTCTCGCGAATGTCTGCGATACCAGGAAAATTTCTTAATACATTCTTTATTCTCTTTCTTCCTTTAATAAGATACTTTGTTTTTACTTTCTAAACATTTCAAAAGTAAAATTATCCGGTGGGGCGACGGTGTGAAAGATAATCGTAAGTGAAAAAGGAAAATGAAAATTTTACTTTTGTCTTTCATCTCTTTCGCTTCATCTTTCCTTTACTTCTCTATTTTTAAATGAAACTTGCGATGTCTTAACGCTTTATGCGATTACGATATCGATGCGAGCGAATGTCCGCAGACTTTTTTCTGCCGACGAATACTGCTTCGGAAAGGATTAGGCTAATCCGGGGTTTGCCAGTCCAAACTGATAATAACCAAAGTTACCGAATAGTTATAGTACACACCGCTACGATCTACGATCATGTCCCCGAGGTAGCGAAACGTGATCACTTCTCGAAATACGGCGCATTTATTGGTAACGAACTAAGTCAAACAAGCTCAAGTTTCGCCGACCAATATTAATTTTATATATATATATATACATATATATATTCTGCATCCGACAGTGCATCTAAACAGATATAGTACTACAGTATCATCTGGTGAGATAAATGCTGTTGGTTACATTGTGTCGAGGAAGTAACGTAGCAAATTTCAGCAATATTTCCTCAGTTCAAGTCACCTACGTCAGGTTTCAACGGAACTCTGCAATTGTACCTAACAATTTTAACAATCGCCTAATTCTCCAACAAATCTAAATAAATATTGCAAGCGCGTGTCGCCTGGCCGAGACAGGGAAAATTAGTCCATCGAAATATTTCGGTATTACTCCGATCGATACTCCCAAACGGGACCCTTCGATAAAGAGTTCTCAGTTTCGTTATCAACAGGGCGCGATAATGAGGTGCATTCTAAGCGGTTAGCGAAACTTGCCGTAAAAGTATTTTGCGAGTGCGTGTCGGCAAACTTGCCGGCACGACAAGGTATTCCGCAAGACGTAAGCCAAAGTTCGACGGGCACGGTGTGTGCTCGGGGCATAGTCGGCTGCCGGCAGCCAACCTGTTAATCACTTTAATCTACGAAGTGTTTTAGCAGCTCGGAGGAATATGCTTGAAGGAACACTTGCCGAACTTCGGCCGAGTGGCAGGTACAGGCGGACGACCCGCCGTAAATGCTACACACGTTGCGGGTGCGCGTTAGGATAAAAGGGCTAATTGCGCCATGACAAAAGAGGTGCTTTCAGTACATCTAGGAAAGTGAATTACAATTTTAATATTAACGAAGAAAGTTTAAATGTTAGTCATCCGTCACTTTCGTGCCACACAATACTGTGATAATCAAGAAAAGGTGATTGCTATCGAGGCAAGCCCGTTATCTCGTGAGCAAACAAAATCCTCTTTGTCGCAACATCTGCGAAATGCGGTGCGCGAATTAGAATCTAAAGAATTGGTATCTAAAAGAAAATTGAAGACGAGGAAACTGTGTTTAAAGTAATAAGGGAAGTGCGATTCGCTTTGTGTCGAGCCACAAGTATTACGTTGCGGACGACGACGGCGACGGCAGTCAATGGCAAGCGTGCGAGCGGTAGCCCATTCACGGACTAGGCATCCTCGCCGAGGTCAACGATGCCGAGCCGCGACCTGCCTCAAGAGTCGCCAAACCAGTCCACGAGAGACGATCCGAACAGGTTACCTAATTTACACACGCCGCGCCGGTGAGGCCGCCGCTCGGCTCTCGCACCGGATGTCCCGCTCGACAAACGGCTAAAGTATAGCTTGAGGATTAATAAATTAGCAGGTTCGACGTCGCCGTCGTATTTTCTATCGGCGAGCGGAGCAACGTTTTTAATGAAGGCGCATCTGAAAAACACTCGAGTCGAAAGGGCGCCGGCGGCCGCCGCGGAGGCTCCGTTGCGATCCACGAGGTACTTTATAAAGCGCGGCGCGTCTCGTGCTTGCGAGCTGAGCCGAAATTTCCGAGCGGGGATCAACCCTCTGCGAAGAGTCCCCGTGACGATAAATAACCGACTTTGCGGCGCAACAAACCCCGTGCAGCTGCACACGCCGAAATAGTTGGCTCGTAAATCGGTATTACCGCGAATCTCCAGTCCGCAGCGGTGGGATATTTACAACGTAAAAATCTGCCCGCGAGTAATTGGCCGACTGGAAGTCGAAATTCAAGAGCCCGACCCGGTTTTGCGCGCGCCGGCAGTAACCGGAGTTATTCGCGGATCGAAACGCCCGACCGACTTTGCGAATGCATAAACGCCGGCGTGCCTCGCGGAAATGCATCGCGAAATAAATCGACAGAAAGGGAGCTCGCGTCTGAACGCGGATACATTCGGAGGAAAGTGGCACACATATCTATGCAACATCGCGAGATACGCGAGCGTATCTTTTTTTATACTCGTATACATTGCCGCGATACATGTTACGATTATTGGAAGCGTTTTTGCAATCTGATAAAAATTTCGTAGTGGATAAATTTTAATTCACCTGCACGCTGCGACGTAAA